CCACTTGGCTTCTGCTGGGGGATTGGTCCTCTAGAACGGCCTGGAAGGTGCTTTGAAAGTCACGCACCTCCATCTCCTCTGTCGCCCATTTGCCCGTGTCGGGCCCAGCTCGAACGTCTTCCACATGCAATGGCACCGATGGCAAGTCACTTTGGTTCTCGGGCGGTGGAGCTGGCCCAGCTGGCCCAGCTGCTCCTCGTGGACCTCGTAACCTGGAGGTGTTCGGCGGAGCTTGAGGGGACTTTTCGGTTTCAGAGGACTTCTTCGAAGTCGTTTCGCTCTTTTCCTTCGAGCTGGGCCTCCTGTGACTCGCCCCACGTACTTGGCGCAGTTCCTCTTCAAGGTCTGCGGAGGGCAAAACGCCTGATTTGTCCAAACAACGTCTCAATGCGCTTGCCTCATCTTTTAAGATCTCATGCTCTGCCCTCAACGCTTGCAGCTGCTCTTCGAGCACATGGAAGAAGTTCGCCCACAAATGGGCGGAATCCACCCGCGCCATGGCAGTCCGTAAGCTTCTCCGTCCTACGAATGCGTGCTGGTCTGTGCTGGACTGGGGCCAGAGCTGACATAGCCAGTCTGTCAACATGGAGCAGAACAAAAGCTGACCACGTAACACCCGCATCTGCGCAACATCCAATAGTATTCTCACACGAACACCCGCATCTTCCACAAAAGAAAACATCCCAAAACGGCCTGCTGTAGTTCCAATGGCCTATAAAATCTGACCTCCAAAGTCGCTCGAACATCTCATCTGTTTCGGCCTTAAAGGCAGCTGCAGAGACGCACTGCAGGAAGTAGTTGGTGCGTTCCGGCTGAACGCCGCACACCACATCCACCACCGAGACCTGAAAGATCGCACAGAATCGACCCAGAGAGACCGGGAAGGTTCCGGGGTTCGGAGCCTTCAGGAGTTGGGGCAGGGGCCTCTCCAAGAAACACGACTCAGTGGCCGCGGCTTTCTCACGGATGTGAAAAGCCATCGACATTCCCCGGAAGGCTGTCCAATCCACTCGGCCGGAAGGTTTGCTTTCTTAGAGTACCTGTTTGTTGTTCGGCTCATGTCCCAGTTTCCTATAGATCTTCCAACTGCGCCAAAATGGTTGCTTTTGTGGGCGGTTCTTGATGGATGAGAAGGCAGAACATGCAACAGCAGTTGGAAGAGGTCTCTGGATCGGAGCGCGGGTGCGGTGCCGCCTCGGATCAAATGAGCTCCTCAACACCTCAACACCCCACCCCTCTTCGCTCCTGGTGCTCCTGGTCGTGTTCGTCTCAAAACACCCCACGATCTGAAGCACCGGGGGCAGGTCCCACGTCTGGAACCGATCCGGCGTCCTGCCGGTCCGGCCTCCGCCAAAGCTTCGGCGTGCTCCGGTAAAGCAGAGGCAGTCACAGAAATCCATCCTGAGAGATCCGCTCTTCTCCATCCCGAGATCGGGAAGAAAAGAAGAACATGTCCACGGTCTGGTCTCAAAAAAAGGGTCACGTACTCGCTCGACTCCCGGACTGGATTGTTTCAGGCTGCTCATGTCTTCCTGTTGAGAACTGGGCCGGTGAAAATACGATAAAGCATGAGATTAAATGAGAACATCCAAAAGGAAACGAGCCTGCCGCACAGAATGACCCTCAAAATCACTAGATGGATGACATGAGTCCCCTTCAGACATTGTGTAATGTATACAGCAGTTGAACATTTCAATGCTTGTCCATCTCTCTTTGTTCCAACTGAGCGTGCGGGCGCTGAAGAAAATCCACCTGTCAAAACCATCGTCAGGACCGCGGGTCCATTTCTTCGATTCACATGCTAAAACTCTCTCATCAAAAACCAAACACTTGTCGACTTGTCTTCCTAAGTCTTCCACTTCAAAAAACTTAGCATGTCCTACCCCCCCCCTTTCCTATCCTCTTACCATCTCAACAAAAAGCCTCTTTCACCCCCCCCCCCCACCGGGGCCGCTCTCGCAGAGCCCTCGCTCGCATGCGAGCTCCGGTGGAGCCGCGCACGCCCCTTCACCGGGGGGCGCCTTCTCCTCTCGTGCGCTGGGTGCTGTTGGCTTCGGCTCGAGAGCGCCAAAGAGCTCGGCTACGCCGAAGCCCGTCTGGCGACCGACCTGGCGCTCAGTCTGACTGAACCGGGATGGAGGGAGGCCCAATGGGGGACACATGAAATGGTTTTAAAGAGAAACAGAGAGAAACCAAACATCCAGTATCAACAAAAAATATAACTTATATCATATCAGTTCTATCATTTGTTGTCTTATATTAAAATACATAATATATCACAGGCCTGCCGAGGTCATCTGAGGTCAGCCCCCCAGCCGTTGGACGGGAGCGGGCGTTGGCCGGGGGGGCCGGCGTGGAACACGCTTTTTTGGGGGGGTGGTCCACTTGACCTTGAAGTGGGGAGGGGGGGTTGATTAATCCGGTGTGGACATTAACATACAATAGTCACTTGGAAGTCCAAAAGCCCAAGAAATCTCAAGGAATGGTCTGACGAAAGATGAAAAAAGACCTTCCTGAACACTTGGGTGAGGCGAAATAGAGTCAACCTTCCAAGTATCCTGGCTGGAGATTCATGTCCGTAGTGTGAGCCAGGTGACGGACACTGTGCCTACATTGGCCCCTGAATCCACACCAATGTATGCAAATAATGTGCCAGTCCCACCCTGGGTACTAGGTTCTTGTTGCAACAAGACATTATTGAGCAAATGATGATGATGATGATGATGATGATGATGATGATGATGATGATGATGGATGTTATTTACAAATCCAATTGGAAGGAAGTTGGGGAGTGCCATCTGACCATGGCCAGCTAAGCAGCTAAGTCTTATACCATTACTAAGCGTAGGTCAGAAGAAGTGACTTGCAAAAGACTCAAACATGGACACCTACCTATTCGTGCTTCTATTCCCTGCCTCAACAGCTATGTCGAAGAGGAAGCGGAAGGGTGGTCTCCTGCAGCTTCGCAAGCGGCAATTGTGAAGGATGAAAACACTTGCAACAATTGGAGATCAAGACAACTGATAATAAACAAATCCGAACTGCTGGTATTTACCACACTCTGGGAGGTGGGAAGAATCTGTTTCTTTAAAAGTTCTTAAATAAACAACTCAAAATGCGTGTTTATTGCCGATGCCACATGCCTCTCGCAAGCCGGACCGAGAGATCGTGTCCGATCGACTGTTTCGTGGAACCGTTACCTGGATCTTTCCCAGTGAGCGGTCACTTGATCCCCTGGTTGGTTCGGTCACAAGGCTTGTAGGTCAAACAGGGACGAACACAAGTTCGGTCACTGGGAAGGTCCTTCTCTCTCAACTCTCAACTGACTGATGCATTCCCAGACCAGACCTTAGGCCCCTTCCCTCGATGCCCCTCCGCATGGGCTCCAATTGACCCATTGGTTTGACCCCAAAACCGGCATGGCGACTGGACCATGCGGCACCACGTCGAGCAAACCGCGGCCCCACCACACGGCCCCACTTCACCGAAACGAGTCGACGCAGCGGCCTGAGACGCTCCGTCAAGAGAAGCGGCTTCTGGACCCACACTCCGAGTGTTGCCTCGCCAAATCCATGCCCAACACACTCTAAAACAGAGTGGTCATGCCCAAAACAAATACGAGTTCAAAACATTAGCTACATGAATTTTCAATAGGTGAGGTTCCAAATCTTGACCAAAAGAAATGACATGAAATAACTATAAATCACTACAAAAACATCAAAAACACTTCACTTCCACCTCGCTGCTTGTCAAAAGCTTGTCCCCTCAATGTGTCGCAGATCGGCCTGGGTCTGAGCGATCCAAGGTTCCACATCCTGAGGTCATCGGGTGATCCGACGGACAGTCAATCGGGTCATCCGCTTCAGGTCTGCAGCGCGGATGGAGCTGCGGCACCAAAAACGCCAAGCGGCGGTAGGAACCGGTTTCTCGGCGGCGGTTTTCGGCTCCAGTTTTGTACTTGACCTGGTTGAAGAGGGGCGGGCCGCCCTTCCTGTCCCTAGAGCATTCCAGTCCAGACCCATTCCAGGCTCACCACTGCGCTACTCCGATCCGCTACCAAGAATCCATCTGTTTCACGTTGTTTCCAAAATAGACCAGGTGAATAGGCTACTGGACCATTGGCGGGGTCCCCTTTTGGCCTCGCCTCCTTCGCCTGGTTCGCTTCGCTCATTCGCAAAGCGTCGAAAAGGCGAGGTAAGATGCATAAAACATGGGGTGTATAGAACTTCATGGAGTGCTGGCTAATATTTGGATTGACCAATTATTTGGCCATGTCAGGATTGACCGTGGACGCGAACCAAAAAGAACTGCTCCATTTGCTAGGGATCCTTGTCAAGATTCCTCAACAGGCATGTTGCTGCGGGCCAGTGGCATCGGAGATAAAAAAACATCAACTTGCAAAAAGAGCGATCGCAGCTTTTGGAAGAACAAGGGTGACACCTTGGACCTTCGACCAAGTTCTGTTCCTGCACATCAAACAACATACCCTATACTATCGTAAACTCTAATTTGCATTGCACCTGAGGCACTGCAATATTGCAGGAGCAAGGACAACATCAACAAAAATCAAACACCAGCGGACCAGGCAGTTCTCTTTTCCTCGCAACGCATTTCTGCAGTGCCCCAATTTTGGGCAACCGCACTTTCAGCGCGAAGAGGGATCCTCTCTATTTTTGAAGTGGGTCAGGTAAGGCAGAAGAGACATCTCCACAGGCAGTGAAGGACGTATAATTAGAGCTTTAAGGAACAGCATGCATCATGCATCCAATTTCCTCCCGCTTAGGCACAGACTCAGGCACAGCATCAGCTTCCAGATTCGACGTCTTTCAGATGCTCTTCCAGCACGAAACCCGACGTATCAACAAACACACACACGCATGATCGAGCGTGCAGCCGCATGCGTGTATGTGCAGCAAATGCTGCAACACTCTGCTTGGCAGTCAATCACTCTATAATACTCTCTATAGTTACTATACGCTTCAAGCATTCACAACTGCAACTGGCGACGCAGCCAAGCTGGGTATTCAGCATGAATTGAGGAATTGATGAATGATGTCCATCTCTGCTGATGCTAATGTCCACTGCCTGCTATGTTTCTCACTGGAATAGTGGACCAACAACTCTGCTACGCTCTGCTATGCTCTGCTAGGATGCCCGCTCTTTTCGATTCAGCCGAGGGCTTTCATTGCGACTACCTGGCTGTGGAGATGATGAAGCAAACAGTGAAGCAAACCCAAGCTGAACGACTCTGGTTTGTCTTTGGTGCTCGTCGCTTGAACCCAAGTTCATCCAAAGTTCCCCCCCCCTCTTGTTTGTTGCAAGTCCCGTCCACTGGGTGCAGCATGCCTGGTTCAGTGTGTGGCCTAGATCCTCTGGATTCTCTTGATCTCCTGGGCCTCGTGAGGCGTCGCAGGCCGTCGCAGGGCGTCCGGACGGTTAGGTTGACGCTGTGACAGAAGGGAGAGCTGTGCCAGGCAGAACTGTTGATCAGAACTGTTGGCAGAACATGAAGGATGAACATGTCTTCCAACTGGTAAATCCTTCTGACATCCCCTACCGGAAACACAGGCTCAAGGCTTACCAGGCAGCTACGTACCCACAGGTTCACTGCACCTGAACAGCTTGGGTGCCAAAAAACAATCGTAAACAAAAATATCTACCGCAGCTAATAGCTATGCTATGATGCTCAGGTCGGAATTGTTCGGACACCTTTTTGGATGGACACATCAGCTCGGTGCCCAAATCTTGCAAACACGGTCGTAAGGCAAACCAGCGATCCTGCCCTTCTCGGTCTGGACCGTGCAGCTGTAGGATTGCGTCTCTACGGATTGCAAGGTCCCCTCCATCGGGCCCGAGCCGTCCAGCACCAGGACTCGGCTTCCGAGCTTCGGCAACACGGTCTCCAGAAGCTCATTCTTCACAAAGACTTGGAGCTCTTGGCCGTTTTCACCAAGCTTCAGAAGTCGTAGATGGACGCCCAAATCTTCGGAGTCCAAGGTCACAGCCTTCTGTCCCAATGCTTGACCTTCCAGTGCATCAGGGCATAGCACCTTCACCACTAGACCCTTCGGCCACACTGCGCCTTCGACCACGATCTTCCTCCGTTCCGAGTCCTTCGTTTCGGCAGACGTCGGCCGTTTCTTGGGACCAGCACACAGCTGGAATGCCACTTTCACACGATTCGTCATGTCTGTGGGCTCCTCGGCGGCCTCAGTCTCGGCGGCTCCCCCGGCCGGTCCGGCCTCACAGGCCGCCGCGGCGGCCGCCGCCGCGGCCGCGGCCCGCTTGGCGCCGCCGTCGTCTTTGCGACGCTTGGGGACGGGTTGAGTCAGGGTGGAAGCCCAGGATTCTTGCATCCTTTTGGACCTGGAATCCGGCACTGCAGGAGTTTCGGCATCACCTTGAGCCAGATAACAGGAGGCCTCAAGATCATCCTCTTCATCCTCGGTGTCCACCCTCTTCTTTTCTTTGCTTTTCGTCTTCGCACCGAGGCGAGCCTCAGTCGCTTCCCGTGCTTCCCGTGCTTCTCGCTCGGCTTCCGCGGCCAGCAGCATGTCTTGGTCGATGCGCACGGTCCATCCCTTAGGTCCCTTGTAGGCTTCGCACTCGCCTGCTTTACCTCACGAAGGGGGGCAAGGTCCGGTGGCCAAGCTGAACAAAACACCCAAGCTGAGAGAAAGAGCATGTTGGACAAGCTGGGCAAGGATCGGCAAGGTAGTTTATGGTAGTTCGAAAGCAAAGGTCCCACATGTTTGTTTATGTTGTTTCAATGTTCCATGCTGTTAACCATTCCCCCACTCATGCTTGAGTCCGTCGATCCGTCGATCCAGCCGTGGATCAAAAAGACTCCAGCAGTGACGAGAAAAGCGACCTTCCATATATAAGTCATTACAGCAAAATGTACCACTCTCTGATGGGTTTTCACTCCACTTAGTCATGTGTTCAGACAGTGGTACATCTGAAAGTACTTCCCCTGGAACGAAAACCAGGTGACCTGGATCATGTTAGACCCCGAGTTGGAAAGACCCGGAACTCCGAATACAGGGGGGGTTTCACTCCACTTTCCCTTTGAGTTCCTGTGAGTTCGTGCAACTCTCTGAATGAACACATCACATGTCATGCGGAGTTCCCCCATCTTTTCACCCACGTAAATAGAGCGAAATGCTCTCTCCCCCGGGTCCATGATGGTCCATGTGTTCCTCAAAGTGTACACGTTTTACGTATAAATTCGTAGTTTAGCTACCATGAAGAAGCGTGAAGATCGTGACTATTTGTGACTACATCCCTTCAGCCCGCAGCGTGAAGTGTTTGGGAACTGATGTAGTTGAATCATGGACTCAATACCCTGCGTTGGAGGATTTCTCACACCTTCAACTTTCAACACTGAAGGTAGAAACAAACTCAACGTGGTTGCATCTACTTCGAACATGGGTGCAAGAACGATAGTAATTGATCATGGTAGGTGACACAATGTGTTTCACATCGCCTGTCACAAAGTCTAAAAAGCCAATGCCATTGTCTTTCAACCAAGGATTTGTTAAACTTGGATGCAACTCTGTTGGCTCATTCTAACATGCGGTGATATCTGCCCCTTTTTTTATGATTTGATGATTAATAATTAAAGACCATCTCAGGGCCATCCATCCGGAATTTGTATTACCAGGAGTCACAAGATGTTCTGGGCACCCCAAATTAACCTCCGTTCGTTCGGCACCCCTTTGAAACTCCTGGTATATTATAATATACCTACATTGACCAACCCCTCAAACACCATAGGTAGACATCTTATGCCGCAGCATGGACGTTCTGGGGGGTCATTATTAGTCATGCTTCCAGCGCAGCGACCCGCAGCCCGCGACGCCGATGCCGAGAGAGCGACTGAGCGCATTGATGAAGGTGCCCAAACTGCCCCAGCAGGTGTCATGCATCAGCCGTTGGAACTTGTCATCCGGATACATCTCTCGATAGATCTCATGCAGCAACACGGTGCGATTCAAATAATTCTGTGCCAAGTACTGAACGAAGCTGGCCGCAAAGGCCTCGTCCCGCGCACTCATCTTGAACTCTGGCGCTGCACTTTGTCGTGCGATCTCGGACTTTCGGATGTGATTTTCGTGCTCCAGGTGACATTTGAAGCCGTTCTCGTCCTTGCACCAGACGTTGCACAAGCCACAGACCCAGCGCAGCTTCGTCTGCAGTCGCAGGAACTTGTTGTAGACCCATCGGGTGCTGCCTGGCTCGGCGCGGACCTTGCCGGATTCCGACTTAAAGTAGCCGTTCATGGCAGCTTCAGCTTCGCGTGGGCGTGGCACCACAGGTGCGTATTCACGGGGGCCCGGGCGGTTGACATGACGATGAAAATTACTACCCCCTAGAAGTCCAGTTCGACTATATCTTGACGTAAGTAAGGGAAATGCCTTTTCGGGTCACCCAAAGACCATTCTAGGGTACCGATTCAACCTGATGTTTCGCGGTGCTTTGCTGAGTTCTCCTGAAGGATGGCTCTGAAGGATGTCCTTTGTACGACATCTCCACAAGATCCCCGCGTTGCCATGCGTCGATATGCGAAGAAAGATGCGTGGCGATCAGATCATGGCCACACTTCCTTGAGAGTGAAAATCACTGCCGGCCGTGACGTTCCCGCAGCTCCATGTGGTGGTTGATCTAAATTCCTTTCATCTGGAAAGTGCCTCTTCGTGAAAAAACAGATTACTTTCGCGAACCCCATGTTTAACTTTCGCGAACTTTCGCGAAGTATGATCTTACATATTCAGAAGAAGTTCGGGTACATGGGTATATATAGTTTAAAGGAAAACTATATATATAGGTATGCGGGTATGCATGATGTAGGTATATTGTTATCAACATCACAAGGTATCACAAAATTGGTCTTTGGCTTTGAAACAAAGCGAATCCCGATCCCATCCTATTCACCAAGTCTGTACCCAAAAAATTCATAGTTTTGTCGCGACATGCATTCCTTATCCGTGTTCGGGCAGCATTTGTCAACCCGCCCTCAACTTTGCAGCCCCTAACTGACTTCTCACCTGGAGCCCCATTGCGTATCCATTCCCGAAAAGTTCCGACTATAACCTGTCTTTCTGTCTGACTTGAACCTAAAGAGACATGAGGCAACCCCTTCTCAGGACAACCCGTCTTTCGCGAAGACTTTCGCGAGCTTTCGCGAAACTTTCGCGAAAAACCGGACATGTTTTGGACAAATTCGAAGGGTAAAAGACCACAAAGGTGGTAGAGGTGCCATTGGCGTACCGAGTTTCCTCTGAGACGAAACCCGTCATTTGAGCAGCAAAAACTCGTGAAGACAAGGCTTGGTGACAATTGCACAAGGCACAAAGACTCTGATTTCCTTCTGAGCTGCTGGTCTGAAAAGATCACAGTAAGCAAACAAATAAGGGTCCCTTTACCTACAAATAACATACATGGTTACATGAACTTTCGCGGAAAAAACAAATACTTTCGCGAACCCTGTGTTTAACTTTCGCGATCTTTCGCCCGGTTGGTACTTAGTAACCGAAATGGCTGTTCCATATGAAACTCCTTTCATGGACCTTTAGATCGATGCCCATGTGTTCCCGCACTCTCCAAACAGCTTGGGCCTGGCATGACCTGGCATGTTTGAGGACCCCACTGAGTCTGAGAGCTTTTACTCCAGCTGCTCCAGCGAGTCTCGACTAGTCTCGACGTTGATCGACTGGTGCCGACGTCATTTGGACTGGGAAAGAAAAAAACGCCAACCAAATGACATGCTGCACCTGACTCCACTTGACTCCACACGCGCCACGCGCCACTTCCGCGACGCCGTTTCACCCGCACTCTTAAGCCTTAGCCTTAGCCTTAATTAAGCGCCTTAGCCTTAGCCTTAGACTTAAGCCTTAGCCTTATCCTTAGCCTTAGACCTAGTCCTTAGCCTTAGACCTAGACCTTACCTCCCCTACCCCTCCGCACCCTTGTTGCAGTGACGAAGTCCCGACCTAAAAGCGACCTGATAGCTACGGGATTTGACGGGATTGCGACCTGAAAGCGACCTGATGGTGACCTGGATTGTCCAAGATTCTGCCATCCCAATTGATTTACATCTTGGGGCACCCTCTCCACCCGCGCGGCAAAATAAGCACGGTCCAAAATGGTCCCGGGCTCGAATCCCGGGCTGGTCGCGGCGTGGTCCCGGCCAATGCCCTTGCTTTTTCGTAGATTTTGTCACGTTTTCTGTTGGACTTGAGCGGGGAAACACGAAAGGTAGAGACGGACCGAGTAGCTGTCGGGACCTTTTCTGGTGAGGGACTGTCTCCGGTGTTTCAGGAACGTGCCCCTTGGTCAATCATGGATGAAACCAACAAAGCCAGAGAGCGCAAGAAGGCATAAGAAGGCTCAAGAGGAACTCCGTTGCGGTCAGATTGCGCCACACGGCTCTGCAGAGAGGCTGCGTTGCGTCGACGCTCGTTTGTGTCTAGGTGTGTGAAAACAGGCGCGCGTAAAAGTCGCAATGCGTAAACGCTCGCATGTGTACCAGCTATGGTCCCACAGCTGCACGCACTGTGTCAGGATTACAGGCCTGCACGCGTTGCGTCGAAGCCGCAGTGACTCAGTGACCAACCCCCTTGTAAGGATAGTGCTGGAGGGGTGCGGCCGGTACTGCCAGGGATGGACGTCACGCTATGGTGGGTGTGCTCCACGATGCGGTAAGATTTCGCCACGCTAGGGTATAAGGCTGAGTCGAATGGTGTTCCGCGACGCGAGGGGTTTCTCCACAGGGCTTTGCAGAGAGGCTGTGTTGCATCGATGCTCGTTGGTGTCGAGCAATATGGTCTGTGAACGCAGTACGCGCTGTGTCAGGCTGCCGGGTGCGCACGCGCGGCATCGAAGCTGCATTGCGCGACCTCATTGCGCAGGGTTCGTGCTGTATTGCGCAACCTCATGGCCAGCGTCGTACTGCTGTGACTGTTAAGCGCATGACTTCACGTGCCGTGGTCCCCGGAGCGGTCCGTGTCCACGTCGGTCGACCCGCCGAAGGGGGCTCCGAAGCGCCGTACACTGAGACCCCACACGTCCTGGCCGTCCGAGGCGGCCTCGGTGGCGACCTCGGGGGGCGCAGTGGATTCGTGGGGGGGATCCAGTCCCAAAAGTCCGGAGGGTGGAAGCAAAAGGAATGGTAAGAGTGAACCCAAGTCAGACAATGTTGAGGAAGATGGACGATGATGGACTTCTTATTGATTGCAAGGTATACAAGTATCTGATCATTTGAGTGTTCAAGAGCCCATGGTATCCCATGTGCATCAAAACACCAGCGACAGGCCCGAGCGAACAAGGAGTGCTGTTTTCAAGCTCTCTCTTGGACTGAAGCTTCTGAAGCCGCACTCGTCTCTTTTTTCGCTCTTCCAGCTGTTTTCATCGTCTTTTTCAGGAAATGTTTGGCGGCAGAGATGAAATCAGGTGAGATGGGCCACCTTCCTGGAGTTGGATCGAAGATGGAATGAACATGAATCTGACCCATTTCTTGATCCAGAACTTTCATGAACTTTTCTACAAGGATTCAATCAGTTCTCTGGACTCTGGACATCAAGAAATCGTCCAAGGATGATTCGCACATCTTGTGCACTGGCTGATCAGTTCGCTTGAAGAAGATCTTCTTCGGCCTGGCAACTTGATGCGTTTGAAGTTGGAGAAAAGCTAATCCATAAATATACAGATCTTCGATCATCTTCGATCCACCCACCCATCTAATTCTAACCCATACTACATATCCTGGATCTTCAAATGGCCTAAATCTCTTCCCGAATACTCCGGGATGAACAACAAGCCGTAAAGCACATGCAACTGATGATCTGGTGCTACCCATCATCAACACAACGATCCCACCCATCCCCTATCCCATCCACGTCCGATGACAGGAGTCCTCAGCGCTTGGCCGCCAGCATCTTCCGGAAGAGGCCATTCGTCTCGGCCAGCTCCTTGGGCGCGCCCTGCTCGGCCACGGAGCCTTTCTCCAAGACAACCACTTGATCGAAGTCCATGATCGTTTCCAACCTCGAGGAACAGAGGTTGAACAGCCTGATAGCCTATAGCCCATCCCATAGGTACCACTATGGGGTCCTTTTTCAGGTCTCTGAACCTGTCTTGGGAACACAAAGCAAAAGAACATGGATCAAGAATCAAGATAGTCAAATCGAACAAGTAAGCTGGCTCATGCTGATGAGCTTGCACCTCCTTCCCCGTTTTAACTTCTGGTTCAGGGAGGTGGCACGCGTGTTTTTTCAGGGAAAACTCCTGCAACTCTGACCAAAAACCGTCTCCTTTGCTTCACAAAAAGTACACGACCTACCATAAGACCCCGCTCCAGTTCTGCGTCTTCCTGAGCGCTGTTGGCGGCGTTTCGCCCACGCCCGCCCGCCCCTCTTCCTCTCCACCTCTCGGGCCAAGGAGCCGATGCGCCACCGCGACTAAGGTCGAACCTCGTTTCGACGCGTTCGGCTCTGCTGGGTGCGTCGAACGATGCGTCGAACGATGCGTCGAACGCGGGCCGTGCGGGCCGTGCGGGCCGTGCTGTTGCGACGTGTCCGACTCGTACTGGGCTTGATGCTTCAAGTATAGCAACCATTAGCAACCCATGGTGCAGTGGAGACTGACGTGGAGCCTGCCAAGATAAAATAGGTGTTAAAGGTTGACAGAATAGGAAGTCTGCTTAGTAGCCTGTTGGTGCAGAGCCGCTCTGAAAAAGCTGGCCGTGGATCTGATGTCTCAAGTAACAAGTTGTGAGAGTCGCCAGACTGGGGATATGAGGAATGGTCAAAAACCTTTCACGTCCCTCAGCAAGTAGTGGGATTTGGAGGAACATCCATCCACCCAAAAGCCACAAATTCATGTCGTCTTCTGAACCTTCATCGCCCTGAAAACCCAACCCTGGACGTGTAGAAGCAAAAGCTCATTGGACCATTGACCTCGGATGCCCCGCAACGTACAGGAAGGTCAAGCTAAATGGTGTTGAGGCTGGCTTTGACCCAATCCCCATATACTCAGGACTGACAGAAGTCCTCTGCACCTTCTGAACCCGAACCTCTCCGCCTACGCCAGCCGCTTCGCTGCGCGACGCGCGACATACAGCGACCGTGTCCACTCGCGTTTCAACGCGACGCGTGCGACCAGGAACCGGGAAAGGCGGAGTTGATGGTGTGCTGCACCTGTGTTTGCGGTGTGTTTCACAGGAAAAAGAGGGCCCAGCTTGATGGTGCCCTCAATGGCACAGGATGACACGTTCCAACTCATTCAGACGGAATTCACATCAGGTTCCTCACTTTCCCCCACAAAACCAGTTCTCAACCACCAGGACTGCGAGCCACTCGGTTTTGCCAACACCCCTAACCCCCGCCCCCCCCACCTGACCCCGCCCTCACTCCGAAATCGTAGCATGCTCTCTTTATCCCCAATCTACCCCATCCCCACCCCCAAACGATCCAAAGACCACCCGGCCCGCCCCTCCACCCCCCATGCCCGGCCTCCATGCCCTTTCCCAGGACCCCACCCTCCCTCGCCGCTCGAGGCCTTCTCCTGGGTGCTGGGGTCGATGGCCGACGTCGCCTCGTCCAGGAGCAGCACCGCCGGCTGCCGCAGCACCATGCGCGCCAGGCAGACCAGCTGCCGCTCGCCAAAGCTTAAGTTACTTCCTGCCCGCTAGTGAGTGTGTCATCTTTGGGTGGAGGGTGTGGCTGAGGGCAAAGCGAGTGGGATAAAGTCTAAATCAACTAGAGGTTCTTGTAGAAAGGACCCCCAAGGGGTGGTTAAAGGACACCCCTTAACAGCTAAGGGGGTATAAATCGACACCCCGACAGGAGGGTCCTGGTAGAAAGGAACCCCTTGTTTTGCGGATTTGGGGAGAGCTGCATCAAGCTCTTGGGACACGCCTTGCGCAAAGTGTGGAGAGCGTCTCCAACTGGGACATGACATGTCTCACAAAGGTCAAAACTCAAGAGCTGTAGAGAACAATCTGGAGAATACTACCGTGATCATGCAGTATACTCATATATAACATACCAGCACCCGACTTCACAGGTACCTGCAACTTTCAAGCCTGCAACTTGAGCCACCATTTCGGAGACCTGTTGGTGTTGGAGGCGGTTGGAGTTAAACTATAATGTATAATACTAATATAGGCATCACTAATGATGGCATTATATATATAGAGGCTGTGATGTGGAGGCGCTTGAAGAGATGCATCTTTCCCCCGCCTTCATCCGTAATGGGATGTTCCAACTTCTTGGGGAAGGCCGCCACCATCTCAGCCAGGCCGGCCACTCGCAAGGCCTGGCTGAAGGAAAGAAGGGGCACTGGAATCTGCTTCGGATAGAACCAGGATCATGACTGTCAAGTATCTACAGGTGGAAGATTAATGAAATATCATCTTAAGTATTCTTAAGTCTTATATCATCTGAAATCATCTTAAATAATCTTAAACTATAGAAAACCGATTCTACAGCACACAGCAAGTTTGAATCAACAGGTAGAATTCCACATGGACGGTCTCCAAGTCGGACCTCTTGCTCATCAAACGTCTCTACCACAAATGGCGGTCATCGTACCCACCCAGGTTGCCCGTGGACCTTCGTGGACCTTCGTCGGACCTATGTCTATTCGGCTCATTTTTCAGGGGTCAACCGGGGGTGCCCGGATTCGGATCCATCCCAAATCCCAAATCAGTCTTGTCTAGCCCTGAACCCCCAAACCTCCAGGTGTTTCCACCGTGTGGTCCCTCGTCGCGGATGTCCCACCCGCCTTCCCCGAGAAAACGGTGACGTGTCCAACCGCCTTCCCCCGCGCCTCCAAGATGCGTCCCTCTGTGTACTGCTCGAAGGGGTCCAGGTTGTGGCGTAAGGTGCCCGAGAACAGAACCGGATCCTCTCACTGTCCAAGCAGTTCGGTTCAATGAATAGCTTGGGAAAACCATGATGAGGTGCCTATGTGCCCATATATGGCATCCTCTACATGTGGTTATTTGCCGCAAGAAAACCAGTTTGGGATAGTACCAGGTGGTATCCACCCTATGGTCACTATAGGAGTGTGTTCGTATAGTTCTTATCAACTTCTGGGGCCTGTATCCGGTTGGGCGACCTGACCCACTGACCTCTGCCACGGTTTCCACACACGTCCAGCACTCCGACGTCACACGTCAACCAACCTGTAGACCCTGTAGAGGAGACCTGGGCCCTTTCCAACCCTCTACCGAACAAATCACACGTGGCAGAGTTAGGGTTTATATACGCCCAAAAAACCCAAAATGCGCAGGCGTTTTGGAAGCTGGGCGTTTTTCGCCTCCACCTCCGGCCCACGCCGGCCCCTTCGGCTTGCCTGGTTGCTGGGCGTTTCGCGTGGGCCGGCCCCTTTCGGCTCGCGGAAGACACCCAGATCGGCGCGGCTCCTGTGGCACCAAACCCATGGCTTCTCGCAGGGTGGCCAGACCAACGTCACGGGTATCCACGCTATTGAGCAGCACTCGTCCCCCACGTGGCTCCAAGACACGCAGGAGCACCAGCAAGAAGCTGCTCTTGCCACATCCGGTGGTGCCAACCATACCCACCTGCAGCGCCATACCCGGGCGGTCTAATTCTCATGCTGGATACCTTTATGAAAGAAAACCGAAGACTTCATGAATCAGAGGGGAACATGCCAGAATATAGCAGAATCAGAACACCTTCACTCTATAGTTGCACCATTGCAAATAGAGCATACCAAGTCATGCCCCTCCCTCCCAAGGGCTTGCCTACATGACTTTAGTCATGCCAGCCTTGGTCCGGCGGTCGAAGGTGAGGGAGATGTTCTTCAGGACATCTCGAGGCAAATCCCCGTATCCCGCGCGGAGATTCTCAATCTTGATCTGCGCGCCATCGTACAACCAGCCACTTTGCACACCGACCAAGACCTCGAAGAAGAGGCGCGAGCAGTTGAACACGGCAAAGAATTGCTATGTTTAAAAAAAACAAAACAACCTTTACATACGCAGCAGGAAGTTCCAAACTTCTAGCCACATGTTGTTCTTTTTTGTTTTAACCATAGTCAGAGTTCCATATATCACGTCTAACCCAAACATCCGAGATCCGAGATCCGAATGCGTTCCACCACCACCATCTATATCTGATCTTTCTACCAGGACCCTCCAAGGGGTGCCCTGTCTGGAAGCCTATTGTGGAGCAGTCCATTGGACACCCCGTCCTGGTATACATGCTTGTACTCACTACTTCCCAAGCAGCCAGTGTGTTCCCTCCGGACACCCTGCCCCCGTCTCGGTCCGCGTCCGCCCCGCGGCCTGTTGGTTTCCTGCGAAGCTCACCGCGGTGATCTTGTGCCGACACAGCTCCTGAGCCATGCCTTTGGCATCCTTCACCACGTCGTTCACCGAGACGATTTTGTGCCAATCTTCCGCCTTGGCCATCGTCCGGACTGTCTGGTAGGTGTGAAGCACAACACGCGAAGATCAGGGAAACATGCAAAACAACCAGCTGTTCTACACGCTGAGAATCACAGCGGACGGTTGACGTGGTGGCCTGGAAGGCTGAGACATGTAGACTCCGAAATGGATCAACAGCCTCTCATTTGGATTGAAACACCTCGTCATATTTGGTGGGTTTTGTCAACAGTCCACCATGCTTCAGCCTCCACCCCCTGGCCCCCTAGGCCTGCTGCAGCTCGGCATTGCTGGGGCACAGCTCTCCGAACTGCGTTGGGCGGCCTGAGTTCAGAACACCGTGGACCGTGGCCACATGCGCCCAAGGGCGTCCAATGGGGTGATAGACCCTGCCTCCCTCGCCATGGAAGGTGGATGACACACCCCCTCTGTGGTAGAGGAACATGGTCTTCCTTACGGGGCTATGTCATCCACTTCCTTGATGGTTTCTGGGAGTGTACCAGCTGGGGGGGGTTGATCAAGAAAGACCTCTGCACATGGTCTTGAAGTTCCCTTGATCCAGAAAGACATCTGCCAGCGGATGGGAGAAAGACATCCAGGTAAATCTAGTTTTTGAACGGGCAAAAATGCATCAAATTGCTTGGCTTCTGACAGAAGCTCCACTTCAAGACAGGTTTCAGGGGTTAGTTAGTTGGGATGGCCCAAACTGCCTCTAGGTCCCCAATTTTTTTTTGCTGCAAAACACAAGTTTAAGCTGTTCGTAGTGCTGTTCGTCCAAACCCATGTGGAGCCGCTTTTCCCCTCCGACCTTCAAAGACCGCAATCCAAGGCATCGGGCCTTTGCCTCCATCGAAGGCGGGCACCAAGGCTGTGCCATCAGCGTTGGATTGGAGGATCACCTGGATGGCCATGGCCACTGCCAGAGTCGTCCCACTGCGAGTGTAAAAGACCCTGGGTCGGCCATGAACTTCACTTTGTACGCAGATGATTTGACTTATTCCAATCAGCCCATTGACATCTGTTCCACCCCTTGCACGCACGAGAAGAAGGTCAAACCGCCGACCGTTACCGCCCACCATCGGCCTTGCCCTGTCGGGAGACTTCCACACCTGGAGAAAAGGATGCATCATCCAGAGTCTTCTGCTTCAGTGGTGTTCTGATATGTAAGAATTCAGTGATATGTTCAGACTGCTGTTTCAGAAAAGGCTGGTGTTCCGTTTCAGTGGCTGAAGAGTTGGAGGCCTGCACCCAAACCCTACCAGGCCTCCTCAAACCGAGGGGTGGGAGGCCAAAGAGGTCGAACCACTGGTGAGCTGTGAAGGGGGGCACCTTCATGCAGCTTCTATCTTCGCTTCTGAAACAGTTGCCGTGGACTGTTTAGACCTGGAAAAGTGCATAGACCAGTTACACCAACAAACATCAACAAGCTATATATACATGCAGATAAAAGATGTCACTTTTCCAACCTGTTTCTCTTTCTCTCCGACCCTCCCCGGCCCTGCTGTCTCGGAACCGCTTCGTCCTCGCTCCCACCGGGGTCTGACCCTCCCGAACCGTCCTCGCTCGGAGGCGGCCCACTTCACGCCCGCCAGCTGCTTCGCGGAGATCCGGGCGCAGAAGCTCCGGTAGCGCTGATCCCCCGAGGTCCTAGCGGAACGACCGACCGGTCAGGAGTTTCGGTGGTACCTAGGGCGGGCCCCGGTGGAGGGGCCGTTCGTGGAAGTGACCTGCATTGCAGTCTTGAAATGAGTCTTGGCATGATCATGGAGGTACCATGTCAACAGGTTCAGACGTTTTGGTTGCAAAAGCTTCATGCGTGGAGAATCCTTGTTGCAGGCTCTCCGTGCTTTGGTCAAACCTCTCCCACCACTTCACTGGCACCGACTTCAGGTCACTTCACCCAAAAACTTCAAAAAAAAGCGCAGGGCTCCGGGCTCCTCATCTCGTTCTCCTGTGGCACGCTCATATACTCGTGGATCCTGGCCAGCGCGATGAATTCGAACTGCGCTCCGGTCGCCGCTTCCAGGTTCGGTTCGATCAAAGACTCCAGCAGGAGCAGGTTGGTGAGGCACAAGCCCAAGGTGCCCACGCCGATGCTGTTGGCATTCCTCACTGGTGAACCCGCTCGTTTCCACCCCAAAAAAGAGACGCTTACTAAAGCTCGGAGAATCACTCAGAGACCAGGACTGTTGCTTGGCGGCTTGGCGGCTTGATTACACTCCCGAGTCAACTCACATAGACCCTGACTGTCTGCTCCGGAACCTCTACCAACCAGGGGGTTTTCAGGTTCCATGGGATCGTCTTCCAGGGTGTAGGTGATCCGAGGTCCAGGAAGTTTCCACTTCGGCGTTTAGGCAGTGGAGACTCGTGACTCGTGTGGATGCGCCGGAGCGGTGTGGACGGAGACAAAAAGAGAGCTCCAGAGAAAGAGGACGTGAGGACGGTGGCAAAAGAAATCGGTTTACGGTGGTACCACACAAAAACATACCAACACCTTCAAAGGGGTTACACCACTAAGAGACCTCCATTGGACACCCCTTGAAGGTCCTGGTACCAACAAAAAGAATCACAAAAACCAGAAAACGGCTGCTTCCAAGGGATCCCCCAATTGGACCACCCGAGAAAAAAAACTGGACATACTTGTTTCTTCGGTTCACCCCAAACGTGGAAGGCGCAACAGGAAATCAAACATTTTTATACTATCTCAAGTGAGAAAAGACAAGCCTCAAAATTCCCACCATGTACATGGTGGTGGTATAGAAGCTCCACATGAAGACCACGCGATTCACCAGCCATCTTCGCAAGACTCGGTCGCCCAAGAGGCCCGCTTTCAGCTGGTTGTCCAAAGCATGACACATCTCCAAAGAGATACGCTCCTGCAAACCCACTTGACAAACAAAATGATCCTACCAACGATACTTGCGCACTCCTGAATGCGTCCCGAGGCCCCGAGATAATTCGGTATATCAATGATAATGAAAACAAACATGACCCTAGCTACCTGGAAGGCTCCGGTTTTGACCGTCCATACCCAAACACTCCATGTATGGAGTAGTTACATACAATGACCCCATGAAAATGACCCAGCCATCAGCCCGCCATGTATACGGTATATGAAACGCCTAGTCCGGTCGTTGTCGTCCACCGGTCACTGGTCGTCCACCCCTCCTGATCTCGATAGGCACGGATGACCACGTTGTTGTTCATCACATCGGAGATCAAACTGTTCACATCAGACCGTGCGCTAGACATGCAATACCTCAATGGCACCGTGGTGTTCCAATAGCGCACGCAAAAGGACCAAATGAGGTAGTAGAAGGGCACCGCGAGGATCGTCACTGCCAATGGCAGCACGCTATGAACATAGAGGAGTGGGATCAAGGTCTGGTACAAAATCGCAATGGTACTGGTGGCCTTCATAAAGAGATGCAAATCCACCACCGACAAGTCTGCTGACAAGCGATTCATGATTCTGCCCACCGGATGCTTGTCGAAGAAGCGATCGATGGGAGCACGCAAGATGCGCTTCAAGACGTCTCCATGGATCTGAGCAGAGATTTGAAGGGTGAACCATTCACCAAACATCCAGCAAACCACCCAAAAGATGGTCCCCAGGATCAACCAAAAGAGATATCCGAACAAGTAAGGCCGGTCGTCCATCTCGGGAGTCCTGGCCATCTTGTTGGTCCACGTGGCCAAGACCAAATCACAAAGAAGGTAGATGTAAACCTGGATGAAGAAAAGCAAACAGCAGTTCAGGATATTCCTCCACTTTCCCATCTTGCAGTAGTAATTCACCATCTCCACTGTGGGCCTTCCTTCGGCCTCCTCGTCCCGCAGCGAGGTGTTCTCCTCGGGCCCTCCCTCGGGCGTGGTGGAGCGGGCCAGGCTCAGGGCGGCGCGGGCCGCGTCCGAAGGACCTTCGTCCAGGAAGGTGCCCGACGCCGAGGGCGCGCTCTGGAGTAGATTCTGGAAGGCCTGCCACGACCGCCGGAAAACGGCGGGCCGGCACGGGTGCCCGGTGGCCCGGCGACGGGTGGGTTCCAAGGTCCAACGAAAGCGGGACGGGGACGGGGGCGCCGGGCACCAGCGCGCGCCACACATGTGGGAGAGGTCTAGAAATGCCATGCCAAGCCTCTGGCACAATCTTTTGCAGTTCCAGGGTGAGAGGTGCCCAATCTTTGGAGCTTCGGAGCAGCCCAATCTTTGGGGGTGCTCGGAACGAAACTGGAACGAAACTGGAACTCCGGGACGCTGTGTAACACGACAAAATGCCACCACAAGTGCGTCAGAGGGTGTCCCTGTTTGGCATTGTGATGAAGCATCGCGGATCAACCGGGTAGAAACGTCCGTGCCTGTCTCTCTGTGTGTCATGTTCTCATGAATTCCTCTTCGAGCACATGCACCTGGCCTGGGTTTGCATCACCTCCTCGGGTCTTCCGTTCTCGACTAGTCGCCCCTGGTTCAAGACCACCACTTGATCAAAATGTCGAAGCCGCTCGGCGTCGGGTTGCAGGATGACCACCTCGACTCGGGTTGCCGGGCCGTTCCCAACGAACGACCAACAGCATTTTGTCCACAAGGTCAGACCGCTTGACCACATCTGATCACATCGGGAACACTATGGTGCAAGTATGCCACTGTCATTCACTGATCATTCACTGATCTGCATTTAGAACATATTCAAGCCAAAGATGTATGCGTGGGAGAAGTCATTTTTCGATGCCGGTACACTTTGCAACCCCGGACCGTTCGGTGAACCTCGACCGGTGAACCGCAAGACCGGTGAAGACGACGAGATCGTTCACCCGGCGCGGTGCTCGTGACAAATAAAGCCCTCCATATGAAGAGGATTATGGCTTCACACTCCAAATGAAGGGAGGTTGATAAATCATTCTATCATATTGTACAATATTGTACATGTCTATCATAATCTATATATCATATTAATATATATCTTCTATTGCATTCCATCGCTACACAAAGCGAACAGAACGGCCATTTTCGGACTGAGCTTGTCCCTCACCTACCATTGGCCCTCCGAATTGGTGAGTTCGTTGTCCATCTGAGCTGCATCTTTCTGAAACAAAGTGATGTCGGAGAAATGTTCAGTCGTCACACATGTTAACATGGGATTATAATGATTATATGGGTGAGGTATTTGGAGAGGGACACCCCGCTACCAGTGGGTTGTGGTCTATGACGTTCTATTTTCATTCTTCCAGGGGGTCGTCGCCTGGGGGCTCTCGTGAGTCTAGTACCCTTGGAAGGCAGAGTCTTCCTCTACTTCATTCTACTTCTACCAGCACCCTCCAACAGGTCACCAATGGTTCGACCTGAGACAGGGTCCAACAACCCTCAACTAACAGCCTGGCCAGGAGGGTACAGTACGTCTGATGTATTCCAGGGCAAACCCATCCGCCGCGAACGCGCTGGGCCGGGCCGTCCATTCCGCCGAAGGCACCCGTGTCTTTCCACGGAGCATCGGACCCAGCAACAAGCGATCCAGCAGGGCCATGGCAGTGGGCGCGTCGACGGCACCAAAGGGATCATCGAAGAGCATGAGTTCCTCGTGGTGATCGGGGTGTTTGTGTGCTTTTTCGGTTCGGGAGCTGGGCCGTTTTCGCATTCAGGAGGGCTGACTGATATGCTTTGATGGGCTGACACGTTGTTCTGAAAAAACACGGACTGACACGTGTTCAAGAAATCTCAAAAGTGGGTTCACCTGCTCAGGTGCTGACCAATTCAGGGATTACTTCATCCCTACATCCGCTGGAAACTCAGAACTCCCCACTCGTCACCCATCACCACTCGTCAAATCCCCTAGGGCTTCATCGATCAATAATGTCCAACGCTCTTGCAACAGCGCGTAATGGAACAAAAATGCATGCCTTTGAAGGATGGGGGGGATCTTTGAATCATGTTGAACCTTTCGAAAGACCTGACACGTCCCACGCAGATCGACCGCTGCGAAATGTCCAACCAAGGGGCCGCGCTGAAGTGATAGGCGGCGCGCGCCATGGCGATCCGCGCGCGTTGACCCCCGGAGAGGGCCACGCCGCGGCTGCCGATGGGCACCTGATCGCCTGCGGGGAACATCTTCAAGTCGTTCTCCAAGGAGGCCGCGTGGAGAGCCGCCCTGTAGCGCTCCTTTTCACTCACTCAAAGGGCCGGTGGAAGCCAAAAACCCGCAGGTGAGTTTTCGGTTTGGGGCAGGTGATGAGACTAATTCAAAGCCATGCCACAGGAGCATTGATGGCATTGATGGCATGGGAATGCCAACAAACATGTAAGCATCATAAATTCAACTCTTCCAAACAATCCCACTGGCGCCAGTCCTCATCAACCTTCTGACCGAAAATCACATTCTCCCGCAAGGTGCCTTCCGCAATGTGAGGGATCTGTGAACAATATGCAATGACCTCTGGTCGTGCTATGTGGGTCGTGCCATCCTCCACCGGATAGAGTTCACCCAAGATGGCTTGCATCAGCGTGCTCTTGCCGGAGCCCACGGCGCCGATCACTGCGATGAGGTGCCCGCGCTTCATGTCCAGATTCAGCTCGTGCAGAACCGGAGGAGTCTCGGGACCCCACCTGCCGGCGACGACGGAGGTCGGCGAGGGATTGCGGCGACCCATTTGGCAAAGCAGCAGACTGGAGTGATTAGACCGGGAAACACACACACAAAGTTCCTGAAGAAACACAGGAACTTAGTGTGTATATTGCCTGGTGGGTCCAAACCCTGCGTTGCCGCCATGGATTTATCATAATCATTTATGGACATTTAATATAGGCCACACATCCACAACATCCTCAGAGCCCGCCCCCCTTCGTCCACCGGAACGGCGGTCCGAAGACGCCTGAAGCTGCCTTTGAGCTCCAAGTTCGGAGCCGCCGTTGGATGTTGCTCCCACATGGAGACCCAGCCCGGCGTCTTCTCTGGTGGCAACACCGGAGCCTCAGGGTTTAGCCGGAGCTCTGACGCGAAAGCGCCGGGAAGTGGAGATTCAATGGAATGGCTGGAAGTTCAAACCGCCTACTGCCTATGCCTACCTCTTTTGGGCAGGCAATGTGTCAGAAATGTGTCAATATACTAACACCATCGTTCAAAGACCCAGGTATGATTCGGTGATTTATATTAGGATTTGTATAAGCTCCTGAGGTTTCCAGAGCTAATACTATATGAGAAGTGGCAATCTCACCCTCTCACCAGAATCGCCGCACCTCCGTCATCTTGAGGAAGTTCTGGATCCGAAGCAGACTGGGACGAATCACGATGACGCGACCGAAGGACTTGGTGAACATGTCGCAGTTGTTCTTCAAATTCGACAGGATTTGCATGCCTCCGACGCCACGCCGACAACGCGTCGCGACGAGGCCGGTCGATCGGGTCGTGAACGAACACCGTGTTTAAACCTTTTCACCTGACACTCCGACTGACTCACATGGACGTGGATGGGAAAAGTAAACTAGGCCCTATAGTCTTCCGGAAAATGAGTGAGTCATCCACCACTCTTCGTTAGTGAGTCAGAGTGTTTTTGTGTTTTTTTGTGTTCAACTCATGGAAGCTGCGGCTGGTCCGTCTGGTTTCGGGGTTGCTTCTTAAAAACCTAAGAACCATCCGTCATGACCAAGGTGGTTGTCTGTCCAACGTCGCGATCAACCAGACCGTACCAGTAGGCTTAATGTAGCAAGCTACAGGTGAAGATGGTCGCCACGTCATGATGTCCATAGATCGCCGAATATCCCCAAATGCCCGCCAAGATCAGCAGGCGTGGAAAGGTCAGGAAGATCCCCACGAAGACGCCCAGGAAGCGGTACCACCGTGTGATACTGCGCACCTCACGCGGCGTGGCGACGGGGATGGCGGTTTTGGCTGGACCGTGCAGCGGGACACTGCCGAGGCAAAGGCCGTGCAGATCAGGATTAGATCAGGCTCACATCGCTGGAAGCTATCTATTTGGTGAGCGTCTTGGGTAAGGTAAGCCTAACAGCCTCGGATTTAAGCCCTATATAGCACCAGGAAGTCTGATCCCAAGTCGGGTTCTGAACACACGTCACCCGCGGGACCCGAGTCTGCACCTCCTCCTTCCTCATCCCAGAGATCAGCTTTTGCATGGCATCTTCCCAGGCGTAGCATTTCACCACCCGAATGCCGAAGAGGATCTCTCGTAGGGTGGAAATGCGCTTGTCCATGCACTCCTGCGATCTTGCAAGTCATCACCAGCAGCTGGGGTTGTTCAAGAGTTTTCCGGAAAACGAGCAGAACTTCATGCGAAACACCTCTGGATGATATTCTTCCCCTGTTACAATACTGCAAGAGAAGTCCGCAGCTCAAATACCATGATGACCAAGACCCTTCGTGCCAAGTATATGTATAACCAATCCGATTCGGATGGTTTGCTCAAACCAGCGGTCGTTCCAAGCCACGACGACGCTCCATCCACAGTCGGTTTCTTCTCGCTTGCTTCTCGGCCCGCCGCACCGTCGCTTGCGTAAGGCTGGGCGGTCCGAAGCTCCACTCGAAACTCGGATCAAGCGCCGAGTTGGAGCTGCTTCAAATCCCACACACGACACGTCTGGGACTGCCAGTCCGGACTGCCGGATCAATCAAACCACCCCAACTGACCAACTGATCGGCAGTCCGGACTGGCAGTCCCAGACGGGTCGTGTCTGGGAAAGAAAACCGGCCAAATCGAAGAACACCAAACACGATCAAACACATCACTGCCAGCCCGGGAGACCCGCTGCCTCGCCCTCGCACTGCCAGAACCGGCCAGGCATATTAGCACGGCCAAGCACGGCCAAGCGAACGAAGCTCGACCAGGTTCCCAACCGTTCTCACCATGTCCATTAGACTTAACAAGCAAGAAACCTCAAAGAAGCGGGTCTAAAAAACGTGTTTTTTTTCCGTTCAGCCCGGCTTGGTTGACCAGTGGCCAGGCCTCGCTCGTCCAGCCCCCAAAAAAATGAAGAACCCTACCCCGCCACCGCAGAAGTGGCCTGCAATTCGACCCTCCCAGCTCCGAGACTCGCTTTCCTCTCCCTCCCCACAAAAACCAACGATACCCTGACTGAAATTCAAAGACTATAAAAAGAATGGTCTGACTGGGTGGCCGGATTTCAGGAGTTTCCTTTACTTCAGTCGGTCAAAATATCATCGAACTGGACTTCTATAGGGTATACCTTTCTTTTCCGTGACGGTGGTGTTTCTTCCTTCCTGGCTGCCCCAAGCGCGGTGTTTCTTGGGGGTTCACGCACACCGAACCCGCCGTCGGTCGCCGGTCCCTACTCCTGGAGGCGAAACATGGCGTGGCCCAGGCCGGCGCTCATGGTCATGGACAGGAAGACCATGGGAATCGCCACGGCGATCGCCCAGAAGGTGGCCATCTTCAAGCGCTTCCAGAGCAAGATCATCAGCACCACGATGCTGATCGTGGAGTTCACGCACATACACCTTAAGGCATGTTGTACACTTTGGGTTGGATGTGAGATATGACACAGCTTCTGAATGGTTCTGAATGAGGGGTTCTTGAAGAAACAAACAGGATCGCCTTGAAAAGGGATGAAAGATAGGAAAGAGAAAACTATAAGTTTAAAGCATCAAGAACAGATCCTCAGGCTGTGTATCAGTCATGGCAAGTCATTTTGGTCCCTCACGTCGGATTGACGTCACAGGACACATGGGGAACCCATGACCGGCGAGACCTATAGCCACACCAGACCTCAAACCTCACACCAGTGCAACTGGCGAGATCTGGCCCCAGATGATGTTAGATATTGTTATATCAGATGTTCATTTTTGGATTATTTGGACTTGTCCAAGTCGCAGCCAAGTGTAGCAGCCCTGCATGTTGGTCATGACGTCATAATTGGTAAGAGTCATCAGGTCAGCCTGGATCATATGCACGATGCCGCCAGTGGCCTGGCGTAGAACAGGATGCGTCTTGAATAAGTCAGAGGTCGAAAAGAGAGGTGTATAGCACCACACACGAAGTTGCTCCACAAAAGGAACAAGGATTAACAAGGTGATAACTCTTTGGTGACTTTCCATTTGAGCTCCAATGCACCCAAGCAGCTAATTAGTCCAACATCTCTAAGTCTTGTAAGTCTCTGACACTAACCGTCTCTAACCCCTTTCAAAACGGCCCCAAGTACATTACCGGGAAGGACACCCAGTCACATGGGCCCAATGAGGTTCGTCACTTTCGACTACACGGGTCTGATTCGAACTTGAAGGCAGCCATCACGCCTCAGTTCAGCAACCAATTCCTTGACCCCAGATATTGTACCAGGACCCTGCAAGGGGTGTCGATTTATAGCCCCTTAGCTCTTAAGGAGTGTCCATTAACCACCCCTTGAAGGTCCTGGTAGGTGTGTGTGCGCACCTCCTCTGGCTGTGCAGTTGGCACGACCTACCTGGTGGACGACCGTCGGACTTCGCATCCACATGGTGGGGACCAGAGACCCGAAGCCTATCGACCGACTCACCACTGTGGGTTTCTTGGACTGGAGGTTCATGCCCAGACGTGGCCGCACCTTGTTCACCTCTTCATCGTGTCCTTCGGTCTCGTTGGTGAGTTTCGCACAGGGCAAGCGTTGAGCTTTCCGGAAGAGTGCCAGCGATAAGCCACCACAGAGCCTCCTGAGGAAAAAGACGACTAGGCGGGTTTCGGCGGCGATGGATGAGTGGAGCGTGGTGGCGTGGTGGAGCGTCTTCTCCGTGATAGGTGAGGGATTGTCCACATTGAAGTCAACATGTTACTGTTCCCTCCTAAAGGGACCATTTTTTGGGGGGATGCAGGAGTCCAAGCTCCGCAACAAAAAACAGACATGTGATGCTCTCTGATGTCCCTCCCCGATCTGTCGGCGATCCTTGGGGCCCGACAGCTTGGGGCGGTGAATTCTTTGAGGGAAAAGCCTCTCTGGTTTTTACAGCTGTCGCAGCTAGGGAAGGGATGTTTACTTCGGCCAGATGTCTCATGCCAGTTTGGATCACGGAACCGGTGAGATGGATCCATCTCAAAGCGAACCCGCGAGCGAGACGCCCCGCGGAGGGAGACGGTCGAGAGGGGAGAGGAGTGGGTTCTGGGTCGTCTGCCTTCCAAGCCGGTTCCGGATGGCCCCTTTTTCAGCCAGGCATCTGGTCCAATCGACAGGAAACCTCGGATTTAGGCGGAAACCAGTCTGACCGAAGGTAACCAGGCGCAAAGTCACCCAAACCCAAGGTGAGAAGTCACAGAAGTCCTTCCCCATCACTGAAATGAAGATCAGTTCCGTGAGCGTTGTTGATTGCCCACGAGAAACGTCAGACCCCTTCTACTATATAATACACTAACCCTAGGGCTCCAAGGACCTTCTTAGAAGGTGTTTGGGGTGGGTTTAAGTTTAGAGGGTCCAAATACCTTCTAAGGAGGTACTTGGAGCCCTAGGGTAATACACTTATACGCATATATACAGTACTTATCAGGACTTACGGACTGGCAATCAGCGGGACCTGGGCCTGAGACCCCAAACAACCTAACTATACGATGGCACAAGCTTAGGTGTTCAAAACCCCAAAAGCGCCCTCACCTCACTGACATGGAAGAGGAAGACCTAGGAAATCCTAGAAACTCTTGTTGGAACCACTCACCCCAACTCCCCGAAAAAATCGTGGTTATAGGAAAACCATCTGTTTGGTAACCAGTTTGGTATTCGGATTTCATGGTCCTCCGAACCGGCAGGGGCCATGCCCTCCACATCACCATGGGTATTCGGTCGCAGGGAGTGTGATGGAAACCAGTTCACACTGGCCGGTGTGAAGCATCACATGCCTCCCATGAAAACCACTCCCCTTTTGGTGAACTTCTGCAGCTGCAGCCGCCCATGGGGCACCTCCCATAGAGGTGGCCGCCCATTCCGAACCGCACGCACCGAGTGACACGAGACGGCGCCCATAGGATGGTTTCAGGGAGCTGAGGCCATCGCTATTAGGTTGGAGGCCATCGCTAGTAGGTTTGACTGTCTAGAATCAACTACAGAAATCCTTGATCTGCGACAAGCATTATCACCTCTAATTACCACTCTACCCAGACCACAAGGCGGCACAATGCCAGGGCACGTGATTGTTCACAGAACTCAAGACAATGTTGCTCAAGGGAAGAGCCGAAAAGACCGCCATCGCCACGAAGAGAGGTTCTCGCAGGTCCGGCAGAATCCCGTGCTCATGGTAGAAATTCTGCACCCATTGGAAATAACCTCAGATGGCCCAGGAGTGAATGGGAGAATCATGGTGAGTCCAGAATTGACATGTTGCGTTTGAAAGAACATCCATGTCGTCGAAACACAAATCGATCTGACATTGCCATTGCTCAACATATACTTTTAGGCCCTGCCATTGTGAAAAAAAGAAAAACAATCTCTCTCTCTCTCTCTGTCCAAATCCAGGCGACCGAGTGCTTTCTGCACCAAATAAACGGAGTAGACCTGCGACACGATGATCTGAAGAGCCATGATGAACATCAAGTAGAACATCGTCCTGATGCCGTAAATCTTGATGATCACTCTTGCCAAGCTCGCATTGAACTCCCCCACTCGGTCCACTTCCTGGTATTGAGGCGGTCAGACCGCAAACGGGCGGACGGAACCACAGAAAAAAAAAACGGGTACAATTAAATAGTCTGGTGTAGGTTGAAAAGGAGACGCAACTGAGACGCAATAGTATTGATATAGTATATGGTATGGTGATGTATGGTGGTATTGGTACCACTGGTGAAATTTGGAAGAAAGAGAAACGAAAGGTTCTCCGAACGTGGAAAGTTCATCAGTTCGTCGGTTCCTCGGTGTGGCCACCGCAACGGCCGAGGAGGGCGGCCGGTTTTTCACTCAAAAATCGGTCCTCCTTCCAAAGCTGCTCGAAGTAGGCAGCACATTCACGAGCCTGCATCTCTTTGCCACCCACTTGAGGCAAGTCACCTGCCTTGATCTTGGTGTAGGCGGCATTCTGCGAAGCTGGATGTGGATGTTTCAAAGGTGTTTTGCACGTTTAGAATCCATGATGAACTTTAACCACCATGCAGTTCAGTCCACCTGCATCTGCCAACCTCGGACACCCGGACAGGAATGCCCGTCCGGATTCTCCGCGGCTCCTTTCAGTTGTTACACTCGTTGGTGACAGCTATCTTGCTTTACAGAGAACAGCAGCAAAGTTTCAACCTCTGGCTATTGGGATAGAGGATGCCCCCTGAAAGTATGGGTGTGTGTTCGCTACCAACGGGGCTCCTGGCCATACTACGAACGGAGCAAGGGCATCGCTACTAGGAACCCGGGCATCGCTACGAACGGAGCATTCTTACTAGTAGTAACCAAGAAGCTACGAGTAATCTCAATGAAAAAGACCGCCCGAGGGCGTCCCGAACCAGATCCGGGAAGTCTAGACCAGTCTACCCCACTGGTGGGGCGAGAGGACTCGGGGGTCTCCCGTTCGTTGAAATTCACCCGGCCAGGGGTCTCCACCTGGAACATTGGAAAATGAGACGCGTTTCCTCTACAACCCAGTGGTTACTTCAGAAGTCTGCCTTTGGTCACCTTTTTGTTCCACCTCTTTCACTTGTCGTTAGGTGAAATCTTCTGTGTGTTGAAAATTTGTAGTCTAGGATCATTGTTGATCCACGTGTTTCCCTCATCATGGATAGTGGTGTAGTTAGTTGAAATCCTCTGAGCCAAATCTTTGCCCAACCCTCTAAACTATGATCATTGCTGATCATTACTGATCTATGTGTTCTGGTAATTTCTGGTATGCGTTCTGTTCTTCTTTGTAGACCTTTTGGCTTTCCAATGGAAACGAGCGGCTTTTCCAATCAGTTTCAGAAAGATTCGGAACTTGACTGCTTCCATTTTGATCTATCTCATGTGTGAGCATCTTGCAAAATCATTCCAAAAATGATTCTGAAATTAAGGGTACTACCTTATATTAAACCACTGCCTTGCTTACATATTAATGCCATGGAATCAATTTAAAGAAAAGAAAGAAAAAACAGTAATTGACATGACCCCTGGAATAATCTTAAACGATTAAGCCACCCCCTATGTTTTCAGGCTCCATGTGCACCTCGGAACCAGGGCATACACACCAATCCACCTCTCTGCCGGCGGACGAGCGGTTTCACGCGCACGTCCGACGCCGCCTGCGAGTGCCCCCAGCGCGCCACCCAAGGGCTTGCCCAGCTCACAGCCAGCCAACCTATCCAGCCTAGGCTGTGACTGCATTTCAACCAAAAGAGCTAGAAAACCATGTCTTTATGGCCTGATGTGGCCTGATATGGCCTGGTGGCTTGCTTGAGTGACATGTCAGTTAGAACCTGGATCTATGGCCCGGCCATATATAATTGTATGAGTGGTTATGTGTTTCTCACATCTGTGTCTAAATCTATTCTATTTATGTTTACTGTGAAGTGCCCGCCGCCGCTAACTCACACCCACTCACTCCACAGACACAAAACTCACTCCACTTACACTCAAGAAGCTCATGACCATATACAGTATCAGTATCTTCACCATGCGACCTTCACATCTCTGTTCATCGTCCGCATCCACTCATCACCATTCCCCTTCCTTCCACCGCTTGAAGAGCTCCACTTGGTGATCAACACACGTCCGCTGTCACCATGTCTTCTGCTGTCACCGGTCCGAGCCGGGTCGACCAGCACTGGTCGACCATGCACTGGCATGCGTCTCGTCATATATGGTGACAACCAGCAAAACCCAGCACGCCAGCAAGGTTTGGATGGCAGAAACCTCGACCTTGAAACCACGCTCTTTCCAAAAAACCTCTTCGCACAGAAACGGCATTTCATCACCAACCCTCCAAGCATTTCCAAGCAACCAGCTAGCAGTTCGGGGTGACCAGGTCACCTGGTTGTCCGTCCTTCGATCCACCGTAGCTCCCACCGCCGGTCCCATCGACATCGATCGACCCCGGGGATGGCACCGGGCAGCTTTCCTTCCAGGTCTCTTCCTCCACGTCCACGGACGGCGAGGACGTGGACGCCGCGGGGTCCGTGGGGTCGGCCGCGTCCTGGTGAAGGCTGGGGAGGACGTGGAGGATTTGGGGAGTGAGGGCAGAAGCATGGTGAACACGTTGAAATACGATGGAACTCCTTTCACCTGGATCTCCAAGACCAGGTCCGGGTCACTCAGGTTCTAGAGGTCCGGTCATCGAAATGTGAGAATGCTGTTTAGTCCGGTGTCCGAAGTGTTAACACCTCTTAGAACCAGACTCATTTAAGACATCAAGGTCACTCGTTGTTGTTCATCATTGTTCATCAGAGAAAATTTTCCTTCTGGCCTGGAAGTACCAGACTCGGTTCGACATCGCCACTGTGGAACCGCCACTCTCCCTCAACCCGAAGAACAACCACATCGAAGACTTCACGGAACCTCAGGTCCGGTCTTCGGTCTTCGACACTCGCATGGCGTCACCGGCGCCACTCTGGTCGGGTCCAGTCGTTGGCGGTACCGAACCGGATCGCTTCGGTAGACCCAAACCCCCTGTCGGGACCCGGAAGGATCCAGCTGCACGGCTCACCGGATCGCTTCTTTGGACCTCGACCTCGACCGGCCTCGGAAGGCCTCCCGGTCCGAGGTTCGGAAGAAGATCACCCAATTCCGAGATGAGTGGGGCCGAGTGGGGGGGTCCTTCCGACCCATTTCGACATCGAATGGTGCCAGCCTGATAGGGGGAACCTGGAGATGGGAATTTTCGTGTGGGATCGTAGCTACAGCGGTGAGTTCATTCCCAGTTCCCAGTTCCCGTCAGACTTGGACGGTCGACTCAGACCTAGCCTGCCTGGTAGACTACGTAGACTCTGGAGACTGCCCTCTGAGCCGGTGTTACAATCCATGTCTGGGGAGGTGTTACATGGATGTTCTGGCGGTGTTGGGATCCTTTTGGTGGGATGTTTCTGTGTAGTTCTTCATGTTTTCATGCGGTTCTCCTCTTCCGTGTGACCGGTTCAGCCCTGTGAGGTTCTCAGGTGATAAGGGAAAACCTAGTGCCCCGGTGCTTCACTGACCGCTCCTTGTACAAGTGATAACGAGGGTGCGTCATGAAGTAGATCATGGACACCTCAATTTTCACGTTGCGGCACGAACGAACTACGTACAACAGTGTCCCTCAACAACAGTGTCGCAGGCTCACAACTTCACACCAGCTCAGAGAAATCTGGGCATACGGCCATGCAAACAATGTAGAAGGCCATGTAGAAACTAATGATGGTGACTTCGTGGCCACGATTCTTGGTATTTGCATTATAATCCAATGGAAGAGCTTCTTGCAAGAGTTCCAATCTGCTCGTGTTCCTGGGAGCAGGAAGTCGAACCAAGAACAATCACATGACTGACATCACCAGGCTGTCGCATGGTGTCAATGACCAAATGGAAATCCTCTGCTTGTGTGGAGAACTGTGTGGAGATCTGGATAATAATTTCTTGTAGCTTGGAAATTCCTGACTTCTACAGTCCCCAAATGTTCCAAATCCATTCAAATCCAGGCCTGCAATGATTTGGGAAGGCCTTGAAGGATTGCAAAGCCATGAGCTGCGCTTGGAATTCCAGCCCCATCGGCAGCTTGTATCGCTCGTCCAAGCAAAGCTCCTGCGCCAGCAGCATCGGAGTGGATGGGGGGATGGGGAGCTCCAACCAACCCCTGACACGACCTGTCTGGGACTGGTACGCCAATCAATTGGCCCCTTTTCCACCACCTCAACGAATGCAATGGAAGGAATGCCAGTCTGCTAGAATGTCTTGGGCGTACGTGACAGCGGGCGTACGTGTTCCACGGGTGTTTTCTCCTCTGATCGACCCAAGGGCTTCCGTCTGAGGAGACACGAAACCATGCGACGATGGACATCGGAAAGCCTTCTCTCATTGATGATCTATAGAAGGATGCTGGAAATGCCATGTGCCATCATATGTCTAGCTTGCATTACCGGCACTGCTCAACTCCCCCCTACACCCAAAAAGGAACCAAATGTCACACAAAGCTTTCCGGGGAGCTGAACCATGTCTCCTCCCCCACACACCCCCTATGCCTCACTTCGTTTGTGTGCACCAATTCTTGCTAAGCCTGGCTTTCGCAAGCTGCGCTGCAGTGAGGACACCGCCTTCCCGGACCTGAGACCTCGTCTGCCCGTCCTCGGCGGTATTGGAAAATTCGAGGTTGGTTTGCAGCATGGATGTCGCGGCAAAGTCTTGAATCTCTTGCTCGCTCTGGGACTCATTCCTGCGTAGGAGCAGTTTCGTGCGCGTCGTATGGGGTGCGCGGGAAAGGCCGAAAAGAGCTGCAAGGCAAAGAACGAACAATGGATGGACTTCAAAACAGGCTAGGACCAAGATCCCCCAAAGAGAGACTCCAATCTCACATCAAGCACAATTCACATCATCCTCATGGCACGGCAAAATTCACGAGAATCACATCAGTGCCGTTGGGTCTCCTCGCACGAGGCATTGTGAGCGACATCTGCAGCAGCGTCACCCGCAGCAAGTCTTCTTCGCCGCAGTCATCACAAGCAGCAGCAAGGATAATCAAACCCAAGAGCCGCAGCATCTTTCACTCAGTTCGGTTTTGGAGATCTTCTCGGGCACCGGAGGGCTTTACCCGATGCCGAGATGGTTTATATGGAAGGGCCAAACACTCGTGGCCAGCGCTCGAGCACTCGAGCGCTAAGAGCTGCGGAAATGCTCACGAAATGCCGCTCTTCCATTGCAAATGGACACCTGTTCTCATTCACGATTGAGGCCTAATTATTGGATCGTTTGATATGCTAGTAACATATGCTATAACATGCTATAACTATCTATAACTTAAGGCCTCTAGGTTTCTCTGAACTTTGGAAACAACTGGTCTCCGGTACCACCCCAACCCGCAGCCCACCAGGCCCGTGGGATCCTGACGCCACCGGGCTCCTTCCGCGACGAAGGCGACGGATTTCGCCCCAGAAAAGCCATGTCAAAACCAGTGGTTTGTTTGGAAAGAAAAGTCAAAACAAAAGACAAGAGATACAAAAAAAAAAGACATCAAAAATAAATTGAATTGAACACAATTTGTGAGTTCTTTTCTGGAACACAGATAGTGAGGGGGCTCCTCCATACAGGCCCAAGGGCCAGAACATGAGATGCATGTGTCAAAAACGGCACGGAAACTGGGAGGTTTTGGTGGCCGGTGGAACATGAAGACTCCACTCAACCACCCACCCCTGGCCTTCTGGGGATGTCGGCCAGGAGGCCCTAGGGACTCCCCATCGAATGTGCTGCCATCAACCTCCACTGACCTCCTGGAAGATGAAACAAACGAACTCCCAGTTCATTCTAGCACCCATCTTTTTTTTTGAGTCTCCATGGTCCTCCCTATTTCTACAGCATCGACTCACATTGAAGAGGCTCCGCAAGAGGCTTCGGCCACATCCGCTCTTCTCCTCGCGATGGCGTCTTGGACCGCGTCGCCCCAGCGCTTCTGCTCCTCGACGAGACACAAAAAGACAGAATCTGAGGCAAACAATCAACAGGACCTGTGTCCAAATAGATGGACACCTTAAAACAACAACATTCTCTCTCTCTCTCTAGCCTCGCGCGTCGCAGCGTCGCGCGTGCTCTGCGTCGCGCCTTCCGCGCTGCGTGCTCCGCGCCTCGTAGGCCCTGAGCTGCGCGTGGCCGCGCGGGGAAGAGCAATAGCTGGAGCCTCCGAAGGCTCGAGGGCACGGTGCGGTGACTGCGACCAGAAGGCACCCCGAACCCCGACATGGAACTGTTGCTTATGGCGCCAACCTGTTTGGCAATTAGAAGATGTCGACAGAAGAATGGTCCTTCAACTTCAATCCATATACATCTTGCCATCCACCATCATCCACCTTCCATGAGTCTTTCAGAATAACTTCCCTGACTTGTGCTTATATAGTAGACCTTAGTAGGGAATGAGGGAGTGAACCCCCACAAGAGAGGCCCAGTTCACGAATCAATTCCGATGCATTCCCCCTATTCAACCTTATTCCTCACGGTTCGCACCAGTTTCCTACCACCCGAAGCGTCTTTGCTTCGACCTGGCCCCCGCCGCGCCTGGGGAACCGGTGTAGCTCGTCGGAGTCCTCCCACCAGGGGGTGGCATCCAGGAAAGAAGCACTTCTTTTGGGGGCCCAAAGACATCCGCATGTTGAGAACTGTTGAGAAGATGTTGGGACGATTGACAGGAAGAAAACCATGCTGCAGGGTACATTCCAAAGTCCCTTTTTTGGAGGGGAAACAAACCTCTCAGTGTGGACTTGGGAAGGGCCGGCAAAGCTGTTGCGTCCCGCCGCGCACGGCGTCTGTCCTGGCCGAGTTGGGCCTTGTTGGCGGCAGGGGCGGCAGGACTGTGCCAGCGGCCTGAGAGGCGCTGGGTCTTCGCGGCGTCTTCTCCTTCACCGCTTTCTCTGACTGTGCACGTGGGTCTTCAGTCGTTCGATGCGTGCCAGGACTTAGGGCTGCGAATTGCAGTAAATGTCCCAACCTTTTGTCCCTGTGAGTGCTGTGGAACACAGCACAGCCTTTCTCCACCCAGGCAATGCCTCGAGCTGTTGGATAGGAGATTCGGGCGGCAGGCTACCAGTTTGAACCGGATGTTTTTCTATGTCCAGGTTATTGAACACGCGATGCCTGGGTATGGAACTCTGCAGTCCCAATGTGTCCCAAGACCATGAGGAGCGTCTAGGAGCTCTTTCAGCCACATTGGAACAACCCATACATGGAAGGGTTTCTGGTATTTTTGAGCCCCATGGAGCTCTTTCAGCTGGTATCCTTCTCGTCTTCTTTCGGTGGGAAGAGCTCTCTCCCGGGACGTCGACGTCTCTGCAGACGAACATCGATCTTCGTCATCCGACGGAAAGAGAGGCAGCGGCAGAGGAAGAGGCAGAGATGATAAGAGTCGATTTCATCCACTCCATCTATGGAAGTCTTGTAGATTACATTCTTTCAGTTATTACACCATGACTTATCATGTACTTCATGACCCCCAAAGTATGTCACTCTTCCAGTCCAAGTCGAGCTCCAGGTGCCATCATCCAGGTGTTTTGCTCGGGCCTCCGCGCCCCTCGATAGCTGCCCCGCGCCCCCCCGCAGGGTGATCGGGCTTCCTCGGAACGATAACGGCTGGTGGATTCCATCGATGAATTGGAGGTGCGAAAGTTGATGGGATTGACTATGACTAGAATGACTGCGATCCACAACATAACGGAGATTCAGATCATATTTTCATGAAATGATATCATATCTATATAATCTATACCCCCTCCCAAAATGGGACTAAGAATGATGAATAGCTCCTGAATTCAAGGTTTTTTCGGGCGATGTCCATTCGCCACCCCCCGGTCGGTTCCATTCCATGTCTTTCTTTGAACTTCCACTTCACAAAAATACACTCCCGAAAACTAACATGGAGTGGAGAATAGCCCCGTAAGGAAGACCATGAAATCCACTACAAACAGGTGGTTTTCCACTTCCATGTTAGTTCCAGGGAGAGTACTCATGCCCATTGCCCTTGAAAAAAGAACGCTCGCGCCTGCTCCCGTCAGGCCACTCGAGCTGACTCCCCATTTGTTTCCAGCGAAGACCTGACGCAAGAGCGACGCACAATCCAGGCTGGTTCAGCTCACTGTCGTCCATGAGATCGAGGAGGGTTAGAGCCGGATTCGGAAACTAATCGGTCGGATTCTGAAACTAGGGTTCTGAAACTGGGGTTCTGAAACTAGGGTTCTGAAACTTGGATTCTGAAACTGGTATTCTGAAACTGGGGTTCTGAAACTAGGATTCTGAAACTGGGATTCTGAAACTTGTATTCTGAAACTGGAAAGTCAGATTCTGCAACTTGCCTTCTGAAACTTGCAACTGGTGATCTCCACATCATGCGACAGCGTGTGTGCCTGTGACATCACCTTCGAAGCACATCCAAACCAACGTCATTAGCCCCCCGCCCAACCCCCCACCCCCCAACCCCCCCTTGTCCCCATCGTGTGATCTCGACATCACACCAACCCCCTCATCATTCACAAAGTTGCGGAATCCTAGTGAGGGAGTCCACAATGTTGCGGAATCCTAGTTGCGGAACGCCAGTTGCGGAATCCCAGTTGCAGAATCCTAGTTGCGGAATCCTAGTTGCGGAATCTTGACAGTTGCGGAATCCTAGTTTCGGAATCCTAGTTGCGAAATCCTAGTTGCGGAATCCTAGTTGCGGAATCCTAGTTTCGGAATCCTAGTTGCGGAATCCCAGTTGCGGAATCCGACCAAACAGTTGCGGAATCCTAGTTGCGGAATCCTGCGCAGTTGCGGAACTCGACTTTATCCGAGTACCTGGATGTTCCTTTTGGAGGCCATCGCTCTTAGGCTGGAGGCCATCGCTCTTAGGCTGGAGGCCATCGCTATTAGGTCGGAGGCCATCGCTACTAGGCTGGAGGCCATCGCTCTTAGGCTGGAGGCCATCGCTCTTAGGCTGGAGGCCATCGCTATTAGGTCGGAGGCCATCGCTACTAGGCTGGAGGCCATCGCTATTAGGTCGGAGGCCATCGCTACTAGGTTGGAGGCCATCGCTACTAGGTTGGACGCCATCGCTACTAGGTTGGACGCCATCGCTACTAGGTTGGAGGCGCTCAATGGACAATGGACAAGTCGTGTATAGTCATATAAAGTCTATTCGAGGCCCCGGTAAGGAAAATGCTGGTATACGTGGTATTGACACTGGCATGCTGGAACCTTGCTGCCAACAACTGCACCAGTAACTGCATCAACATAGAGTCCAGCATGTCTGGCTTCGGGCTTCGCGGCCCTGCCTCCTTCACTGTGCGAGGCTTCTCCGAAAGCGACGGGCCCTGAGCACAGAAGCAGGAACAAACGAAATCAAGAGTGCAAGAGTTATATATAATTATACCGAAGGACTCCATGTTTAGAGAATATACCTCCATAGATACCCGCAACCACCCCAATGCTGAACGACTCCAAATTCATGGAGTGTCTGGGACAAAGAAAGTTGATCGCACATCTCACGCAGTTCGCATTTTTGTAGTACTGACAAAGTGTGGTTGCGCCAGACGCCCACATCTTATATACTTGTGGATGGCTGCGAGGGTGACAAGTTGTACTTTCGGGGAGGTGACATGCATTTTTTTTTGTGAGCATAGCAACGAAGGATAGCTTTGAAAAGAGTCCTGGAGTGGGAGAAATGCAAACAAGTGCTTCGTCCCATTCCAAAATTCTTCCAAACAATGTCATCTTGTGCAGTTGTCAAATCCTGTTTGTGCTCCTTTGCTGCAATGGTTGAATGGTTGAATCACATCACTTGATTGATAATGCTTCATCACTCTTCTTCGGACAAAGGTCTAAGCCAGAGACTCCATGGTGTGGACGAGCGGACGACCGGTCCGCGCTCCGTGGGACTTCCACTGGGTCCCCCAGCGGTACGATCCATGCCAAGCCATTCTTGCCTCCATGGAGAGAGAAGTGTGGCCATCGCATCCATGGTCACACGGTGGGGACGGTGAATTTTCCGACCGGGCGCAGCTCATGTCCCTTCTCCAAAGATTGAAA